AGAGGAACAGAACAGGTATGGGGCACCAGAAAACACAAAGAAAAGCCTTCAGATTTTGAGGGGAGCTCCAAAGGAAGGAGGTCACAGAGGTGCCTACATCTAGGGACTCTGTGGAGCTTTTGGCACATGAAAGGAGCAGATGGACATGTGAAAAGGCAGATGTGCAGCTGCTGCTGCCTGCCTGACTTCTTGTTGTCCACAGGTTTCATGAGTCCTCTGTCCCTGGTGCTTGAATAGCCTGAGGGCGGGGCAATGAATTGTCTTATGCATACTCTTGCTCAGCATGAACACACTGTCTAATGGTAGAGAGACAGGATGTTAAACTATCCAGCGCTGTTCAGTGATGGGGAGGGATGTGAGCAGGATACTCAGGAGTTTAGAGAAGGGACAGGTCACACTGCCTCTGAGAAAAGATACCTACAGAAATGAGAAAATTTTTCCAGGTGAGCATGAATTGCATAGGAAGAACATTCCAGATCATAGTGTCATGGCAAAGACCCAAAGGAAAAAGAGAGATGAGATGGGGAAAAATGAACTGTGTTTGGGATAAAGAGTTTGAGTGAAGATATTAATAATGAAGTCAGACATGCAGCTGGAATTAAGGGATGACCTAGGAGGGAAATATAGATGTGAGAGATAGCAAGTAATAGTTTAAAGATGTGAGAATGGATTAAACCACTCAAGGAGGATACAAAGAATGAGACTAACATTTCAGACAAGAACATCAAAGAAAAAAAATTAAAGGACAGACAAAGCAAAATGAGCCCAAGATGGAAAGAGAGTAAATAAGGAGGTCTAGCACACACAAAAACATCTGGCATATGGAATATTAACAGATAACATTGAAATCAATGTGTGTCTATGTAGTCAAATTTGAGATGAAAACATCTAACAGTGGCAGAAGAAATGAACCATATCACTAGTTGAGAAAAAAAAAAGACTTTTCTTTATAAAGTTAATCTTAGTTACTTGTTATGAGATCTTGGTTTGGCAATATCTTAGGCTATGAATCTTTCAAAGATTTCCTAGACATTGATACACATACACCACACCACAACCAATGACCAACTCCCCATCAAAGGCTCCACGCCAGCTGAACCAAGGAAAGGGGGTGCGGTGGCCTGGAGAAGGCACGTTGTAGGCGCATGGAGGAGCGTGGAGCTGGGCTTTTCCAGGACAGAGAGCAAAGTAATGGCCCCTGAAATCTCCCCTTGCAAAGGGGAGCTGCGCCCGTGATCCCTGCCAGGTCCTGTAGCCCCGGTGCCCCTCACTGCTCCCCCCAACCAGCTCAGCAGTGGGCCGCTCCTGTTGCTAGGTTCTGGACCAAACACTGAATCTTGTAGGCCAGTACTCAGAGGCTGAAGAGATTGCTCAGGCAGCCTTCAGCCATGGAGTGGCCAGCGATCATGGGGTTTTTGACCCTTCTCTTAGTTTCATGGAAGACTTTTCATTCCATCAGAAGCCGGTTTACAGTACAGAGAAAGAAACATCTTGCTCCCCGCCAGGCAGGACACATTAAGGAAAAACATCAGCTCTTGGAAAAAGTCGGCCAGCTTCAAAAGGAGAATGAAGCCTTGGAGGCAGCTCTCTGGGAGGCCCGTGATCTTGAGAAAGAGGGGGCCAGGCAAGCCCAGGGTTGGTAGGCAGTCTACAAGGACACGGCTGCGTTTCAAGGGTGGGTAACCTCCATCCTCACACAACTCAAAGAAGAGCAATCGAAAGGTTTTAGAAAATGGCAACTAAGGATGGCAGAAATGTCTGGAAGGATCCGGTCCCTAACACAAGAATCAAAACTTCTCACGTCTGAAATATCTGAAGTTAAGGTCGGCCTTTTGAACTTCAGGAAAGAGAGGCTCCAGAGAGAAGTGAAAGATGCTGTGAGTGAGAAGGCCCAACTCCAGGAAAGCCAGGCACAGCTTCTCCAGGAGGCTCGAGGGTGGAAGGAACAAGTGGGTTCACTCACCTCCCAGAAAACAGTGCTACACGATGTCAGGGCTGGAGGAGCGCAACTGCTTCAGGGGAAAGGACAGCACAGGGAGGCTCTGTCTGGGCGCCTGCTTCTCCCCATGAAAGGTGGGGCTTCTGGGCCCTCAGGGGACCGCACACCACCTGAGGACTCCCAGCGGGAAGTGAGGAGGCAGCTACAAAGTGGTCCCAGCTTTGCTGATCGGCCAGAAGGACCCTCAGAGAGACTGGTCTTCGGCGCTCAGGTCAACACCTCCTTCCAGACCCTGGAAGAGCAAAGAAACCAACTTCACACTCAGCTCTTGGGAACACAACAAACCAATGAAGAACTGGCAGAGTCTGTGCGACATCTCCAGACTCAGGGACTGTCTCTGCAATCGGAGAACACAAAGCTGCAAAGAGAGCGCCAGAAGCTTCAGCTGAAGTTCACAGTGAAGGCCGAAGTTCACCACCAAACAGTCTTGAGCCTCTACAGGAAACTGAGACTGGCGGCGAAGGCCCGGGAGCAACAG